CTTTACATGGGACATTCCAACTGTGGAGTAGATCATAAAAAGTAAAATGAAATGCTCATTTTCAGGATTAGAATGCTATGACGTGAAACATTTATCATCTTGATATAGGATTGTTCTAGCCAAAAACAGTATATAACCTCCAGATTCCTCTCATGGACCAAATCTCTTTACTCCTTTAAAAATATCTCATGTCTGTCTCACTCAAGATGCTTAGGCAGGGGCTGGGGATTTAGCTCAGTGGCAAAAGCGCCTGCCTGGCAAGCGCAAGGTCGTGAGTTCGATTCCCGGTACCGGAGAAAAACCAAAAAAAAAAGATGCTTAGGCAGGGGAGGGATGGCTTAGTTTATTCCCTGGGTCTAATTCAGTTTTGCAGAATGAGTTTCCCAACCCTCAGCCCCTTACTCAAATGGGCTGATTCAAGGAACAAATCTCAGGCATTAGTAAGCTCTTATCCCAAAGATGTCTTCTTGCCTCTCTGACGTGAGTCATTCTCTATGCCTCCCAGAGCAAGCTTTCTTCCCCGTGTTCTACTGGTGTAGCAGCCAAGGCACTGGCATGGTGTGGCCACTTACTCTGATTTGTGTCCCACTACCAACTATATTTCTTTTCTGGTCACTTTTCAGATTACCTTTATGGTTCACGCTAATTGTTTACCTTATGCACGGATAATGGTTCAAAAAGTTATTAAAATTGCTTATGGAAGCAATATATTTTAGAATTTTAGAACAAATGTCATGTGAATGCTAAAACAGTAGTTAAAGGCCTTTGTTTTGTTTTAGTTTTGGTGGATTTTTTTTTTTTGTCGTTATGTATATTTCTAAACTACACCTATTTCTTCCAGTGAACTCTGCTCTGTGAAAAAACAAGATTTATCTAATTAATTAAAGTGCCCTGGGGCTGGGGATTTAGCTCAGCGGCAAAAGCGCCTGCCTGGCAAGCGCAAGGTCATGAGTTCGGTTCCCGGTACCGGAGAAAAACAAACAAACAAAAAAAAAGTGCCCTTAGCTTTAAACAGCTGAAAAGTTCCTCCTTGTCTTCCAGTTTCTGAGTCATTACCTGTAGGTGTCCTTGTTTCTGGAGACCACTCGCCTTGTCCTGGAAGCCCTGTTCATGGAATATGCAGAATGGAACTGACAGCATATATGCATGAGGCTACAGAAGGAATTGTATTCTTTTCTCAGAAGGGAGGAAGGTCTCAAAGGTCAGGGAGAGGGACAGCACAGGGCTTTGGTTAATTGGGTATTTAGGCTATGCTTGGAAGATGTCACATATAAATGAAAGTTCCTTGTTGTGAAGTTCCTTCCCTTTGTCTCTTCATGTTGCCCGTAGATATCCTACACAGATATGTAGGTTCGGATTTTACTCCACGTCTTCCCCATGTCTCTATCATGTTCTAGTTCAGTGATAAAGAGCACATTACTTAATGTCCATCAGGTTCCTAATCTGTAAAAAGCCATATATAGCACCTTCCTTGCTGATGTGGCTTTAAATTAACCCATAGTAGAATTGACACATATTATTATTTTTCCCTTCCTTTTTATATAGTAAGAAGCCTCCAACATTTATTCATTGCTCTTAAAAAGAAACTTGCTAGATAATGGAGGAGAAGAAATTTGTATTAAAAGTCAAGATAAAATCTAACTTCACTGACTAAAAAATAATCAGACCATGTTAAAGAGAGTTTAGTTCTGTGATGTTCTAAAGTTCTCAAAACCTAGCTAGGTAATGATATGACTTTCTTGGTAATCTAGCATAAATGGCCTTTGCTGACCCCTAAGACACCAAAAAAAAAAAAAAAAATCTAGGTTCTTTTTATCCATTAATAATAATGGTTATAAGGCAGTGTAGACTGATTTTTGTAAGGCATATACAAGAAGACACATGTACCTGTAGACATACAATGAAGAAGACTATTTTGTGTTTGACTTGATTTAATCCCACATGGATACAACACTATATTTCACCATAAGTTTTATTAACTTTGAACTTGGCACTCAATTAAATTGAAGAGAAATTTTTTTCCTATACAAAACCATATTTAAATAACCATTGCAGTCACAGTATTTTACCAAGTTAGAAATGTCATTATTTCCTACACTGCAGGAAAATGTGTCTCAATATTTTCTCTTTATAAACTCACTGTCCATCTCCCTTCCACCCTACACCCTACATTAAGGTTTAATTTTTTAAATGACTCTGTATTTTGGTGAAATGTCTAGATTTTTTTAACCATGTTTTTTGGTTCCTGGGTATTTCACACTAAAGAAAAACCCTGTGTATCTGTGGTAAATCAATCTGTGGATTGATAAGTGTCTCGTGTTAACTCCACAGACTTTTGGAAAGTGTCTTTCTGGCATTTTCAGCCCACACATTCAGTCTCCTTCCTGAGACTTTAATCATCGACTCTATACATGGGTTAAAGGTTGGACTGCCTTGTGGATAGATGATGACAGTCTTTGCCCATTCTGAAGCCTTCCAGAGAGGTGGGTCATTGTTACATCCTCCTCCATCCTTCTTAGTCAGCTAGCACTGCTCTAACGAAATATCACAGCCAAAGGTGCTTAGGTCAGAGAAAATTATTTCTTCACAGGTTTAGAGACTGGAAGCCCAAGGTCAATGTACTGGAAGAGCCGAATTCTAGCGAGAGTTTCTCTGTGGCGTACAGCCAGCCACCTTTTCACTGTGTCTTCATATGGCTTTCTTCTGTGTTCAAACAAACAAACACACACACACACAACACATTCATGAACACACTTTTTTAACCCAAGATCATACTTCATCATTTGGTATCTACATTTGTACTATATCATGAACGTAAAAATACTTTCTGAATATTTTCAAATGTTCTTTAAAATCAAATTACTATTTAAAGATTCTTTAAAAGAATTTTTAAAATAGAGTACCCAGTCATAATTTTACATAGGTAAATGAATACAGCTGGACCCCATGTGCTTTTTCATTGCTTTGTGATTCTCAATTGATCATCTCTTATGTGGTGGTGTTAAGACCGGTGAGTTTTTGTGCCGTTTCATGTATTCTGTTGACCTATCCAGGCAGTAATGACCACACGTTTGGCCTGTTACACAGCCCCTCAGCGTCTGTTAGAGAGACTGTGCTGACTATGAATTGGAACATATTTCTGTTCTTCTCTGGCTTTATCACTGTGTGCCGGAGATCTAACTAAGAGTCAACTTCCATAGTTTCCCAGTCTGGTCACCCATAGCAATGTGAGATGCAATTCCAGCTAGAGATTAATAAAATACTGACTGATGTTCTTCATTATAAGGACATGCTGACTTTTATATCCTTCCCTAGGTTTCTTGAATATTGTGAAGAGAAATAGGGATAGTAAACCAAGCCCAGGGCTGGGGAATATAGCTCAATGGCACAAGCACCTGCCTAGCAAGCACAAGGTCCTGAGTTCGATTCCCAGTACCAAAAAAAAAAAAAAAGTAAAAAGTAAACCAAGCCCAGCTGCTAGCAACAATAGGAACAGGAAGTTCATTCTCCGACTCTTTTTCATGAGTTTTCACTATTGCTGTGGAACCAAACTGCAGTTTTTTGCCAAATTTAAGGATGAAAAGAGGTCCATGCTCACCTATTCCTTGAGGATTCAAAGTCAAGGAGAGTTTATTATGGACACCCCAGGTTCCTTGTTCTCTCTTTTTCCAGAAGTCCCAAGACAGTATCTCAAATATTTTCCCTTCCACCTGTGACCAGAAAATCAGACCATGAAGGAAGAAAGGTGATTAGGCTTCACCAGCTATGTGATTGTGGTTCTCACATCCTAAACAGAAAATGATGGGTTTGGCCTAGAGCTCCTCCAATATGCCTACTGGCTTTAAAATGATTTTTTAAAAAATTCTTAGGAATTCAGCTATACCTCTGCCCCCAAATACCACTTATTTTGGCTTATTTCCCTGCTGTCTTCTGAAAACATCATCTTAGAAAACCAAAGAGGTGCTTTACTTTATATATCTGTATTCTACTTTGCTTGTATTCCTTAATTATTTAAGACCTTGGGTAATAGTCCTTTAATTATTGTGTTTTAACTACGAAGTTTTAGCGTAATGAATGTGACTACATCTCCTAGCAGTGTAGGAGAAAGTAATGGATCACATTGAAGAAATTACGTGTGGTCAAATATGAGGAAATTATGTTTGATTACACCCCTCTGTTAGAATTTTTCAGTGAACATTCACTTATTAAAGGTTCTTACAGGTTTTAAAATAAAGAAGCTTAATAACTTTGTTTGACTCAGGGAATCTCGCACATTATATGATCTTGAAATGTTTTTATTTATGGTGGCATCATTAACATGCCTCAGTAGCAGAGTCCCTAGCATGCAAAGAGGAGGAAGCTCTAGAAGGAATGGTGTATTTAGTACCTGAATTTTCCTCTCACTGATAGTCTATTCATCATAGCTATGTAGTCTCACTATACATCATGCTCCTCCGATATAAAATGAGGAGAAAAAGAAGCCGCATTTCATAGTAAATATGAAGATTTAAAACAGTAATGTATGATTATATTGCTTCAACTAATAACATTCCTATTAAGAAGTTCAGCTCTCTGGATTCACATTTGGCCCTGTCATCTACTGCTCTCTGACCTTAGCGTTATTTAATTTCTATACTTCAATTTCTCATTTGGACCCTGGAAACAAACACTGATCTCCTAGGGTTATTGAAAGAAATCAATCCAGTTCATGTATTTAGAATTGTGCTCAATCCATAAATATTAACCATCATTACTGTACTTTTTTCTTATTTGTTATTATTGTACCATTATTCTTGGTACTTTATGACTATTTTATTTTATTAAAGCAATTTCTCTTTCCCCTGCCAAAAGCAGCTTAAATGCAGAATATTGTTAAAATAACACCATACCCTCCTGCAAAATATTTGATTCCACTTTGCTGCTTCTGGTCTCCCCTTGATCCAGCTTCTGTGGTTCGTGTCTCTTCACGCCATCAGTTAGCTTTCTCTGTTTGTGAACAGGGACGGAGAGGCCTTGGTTCTGTGTTTGTCTGGGCGTCTGGCAATGGCGGAAGGAGCAAAGACCACTGCTCCTGTGATGGTTACACCAACAGCATCTACACCATCTCCATCAGCAGCACAGCAGAAAGCGGAAAGAAACCATGGTACCTTGAAGAGTGTTCGTCTACACTGGCCACCACCTACAGCAGCGGAGAGTCCTATGATAAGAAAATAGTACGTGGCATTTGCATGTCTAACAATCAATTTATGTAATATTCACTCTGAAATATTAAGGGGGAGCCATAAATGCATAATGCATAAGTAATATATGATAATAGGTCATATTAGCTGATGTTTGACACAAGTCATTGTTACCATTCCGTTACCAACTCATTGAAAATGCTAGTCTGGGTCTTTACATTTCAGCATTTCATTTAACTGTAGACATGATTAAGCTTCCCTATTACTCAGGACAAGTGATTGCCCTACCTTTACATTGTGAGTAGTGGCTGAGAAAAGACTAGAAGCAACACATAACTCTCATCCCAGTGCCCCGAACACTAACTTTTAGGCTTGGCTTCGGTGCTTTGGTGTGTAAGTATAGTTAGTTCAGTGTAAAGAATAAAAATGTGTAAGGAAACTCAGAATTACATTCACAGTATACATCTGGCCAGCAGTGTCCTTGGGTTTCACATCAGTAGATTTAGCCAACCACACATAGAAAATATTTGAAAAAAGATTTTTTTCTTTGTCATTATTTTCTAAACCATACAGCATTATAGCTAGGTACATAGCATCTACATTGTTTTATGTATTATAAGGAATCTTAGGTTATAAGGGAGGATGTGCATAGGTTATATAAAAATAGTATGCCATTTTATTTTATATAAGGGATTTGAACCTCCTCAGATTGTAATATCCATGGGGATTCCTGAAACTAGTGCTCTGCAGATGCCGAGGGACCACTGGGCGTACTTAACTCAAACTAAGCCTTAACGAGAGCACAGCACAGTATGTGGGTGGAGTTACACAGTGCTCTGGGTTCCCCTGCTCACCAGCATGCTCTGCTCTCCAGGCAAACAGCCAAAGATTTAAGAGTTTGGGTTTCAGGCGTGATCTACAGAAGTTTCTTTCATGCTCTAGCTATTTACTAGCTGGGTAACTCTGGACAAATACCTAATCTGTGTGTTTCAAAGTCCTTGGGTATAAAATGTGGGTTTAACACATGCAGTGTATGGTGTCACGACAAAGACATTGAAGAAGTCAACAAAACATGCATAGCCCAGGGCCTAACCTGCGGGTGCTGGGGGAAGCTCGGCCTTTTCAAGTGCCCAGTACAGTAGTACTGATTCTAAATTTTAGGCACCTTTGCACTTTACTCTTTTCCTGATCAGGATTTCTAAGATGGAGCTGAGTTGCCAGACCTGCACTTCTTAGCATTTCTCCAACTTCCCATTTTCAGATCTTGTGGAGCCACACGGTACAGGTCCCTGCTGGTGGGTGTTTCCTTACATGGGTGTAGGTTGGTCTTGGTGAGCGTCTTGCTTTGCCATGGTGGTAGAACAGCAGAAGATAGGACACTGTGGGTGGAACATCCTAATCCCCAAGTTCAGAATGCTCCTAAATCCAAAACTCTTTGAATACTGATGTGACAACATGAGTAGAAAATTCACACCATGTGACTAGATTGCCTGTATAAAATTCTCAAGAATATTGTCTAAAATTATCTTAAGCCTATCTGTATAAAGTATAAATGAAGCCTAAATGAATTTGTGTTTAGACTTAGTTCCCATTCCAAAGATATCTCATGTATGTGCACATATTTTGAAATCTGTAAAAAAAAAACAAACTGTAATCCAAAATATTTCTGGCCCCAAGTGTTTCAGATGAGGGATATTCATCCTGCACCTACTCTGTGCTATTCTTGATTCATACCCACTGACTTTCTCTTGACTTCTAGTTACTATGTAATTTTTGTTTGATTTCTCAAAGCTATTTTACTGCCTTTTTAAGGTATGTTTTGTACATTGACTTGAGTAAATTTGCCTATTTACATACATGTCCTCATCTTTCCCTAGTTTCTTCACAATGACTGCATTTGAAAATAATGGGACTCTAACTTCAGTCCCTCCATCATTCTTCAATAAGCACAGGTCCAAACCCAAAGTAAAATATACCAGGAGAAAATGATCGATGAGCAAGCTTGGAAACTTCTGGCTTTCTTAACTGGAAAAGGATATTCCCATAAAATTCGGCTTTTAAATAGAAAGATCTTGTGTCTTCTCATTCCTAGTCAGGGTCCACTGGTGCTGACTGACACCCATCAGTTCGTCTAGTGGGAAAAGTATCAAACTGTATTCTCTCACAGGGGACCAGGGTCACCCTTCCATGCTTCTTTGGTATTCTTCCCATTAGACTATAAGCTTCTCTTCATGATGGCATTTATGGAACCCAACAACACCCTCCCACAGCAACCACCACAGCGGGAGTAACAGGACTCACAGGTGACCGTGATGAGCTTGTGAGACGCCTTCACCGTTCTCATGAGGAATTTCATGATAAAGAACTGCTGTGGGGTCTACTCCCCAGGCTTTACTTTCCCAAGCCTTTTATCACACTTTTCGATGATTGTGTGGTAATTGCTGTATCCCCCATGACAGGGCAGTCACTAAGCGATCTCCCATGGATAGACAAAGTGATCCATCCTGTGCGTCAGGAGAGGAGCAGGATGATAGGACCATTAGTTGCGTTCATATCCATTAGTCGGGTTGTAGGCTTTACTTTCCCTAGTTACTGCTCCTGATATCAAAACCAGCACTCTCATTATTTTGTTTTTACTTATTTGTATGTTTTGTTTAGTCTCATTCTAAGGAGAAATTTACATTTATTAGTAATGAGCAATTTGCTTTATTTTTTTGCAAATGCCTTCAGACTCTAGAGGTAAAGGGAAAGAACACTTATTTTGGTGTTTTCATCAGATTTTCACGATGCAGACCTGATGAGTGTTACCTAGCACGAGGGACACTGGCCATCAGTTAGGGACGCTGGGATCTTCCCATTTCAAAGCAAAAAGGATGCTTCTAGATCATAGCATTTTTATCGTGAAGGCACAGTTTCATGCAGGCATCGTTCTGTAATTAAGAAAGCTAGAAACTTCCAAACTTGCTCATTTCCACAGTTCCTCTACCTAATTCCCAAATACCCTCATTTTGTCTGAATCCCCAGTTGGGAAGCTGTTTGAAACTAGTCTCTAGCTTCAGACTGACCGCCTGATGCTAGGCGACATTAAGAGGCTAGATTTCCTGCGAAGGGGTGAGGGTTCCAATGGGAGCCTCAGATTTCAGTGAAGACAAAAGACACCCAATGATGTGCTGAGGTCCCGTGTGCCTGATCCACACGCACAGCTCCATGAGCAGCTGCACCACTGAGACTTAAAGCAGTAGCCTCCTATGTCCTGGGAGGGGAGGCTGGCTGTTTTTCCAGCTGTTGTTAACAGAGGTGCATGTTGCACCTCTGTCCTTCCAACCTATCAAATACTTCGGTCTCTTCTGCCCACCTCGTCAAGCAGGGCACTTTGATTGTAGACATGTTAACTGCTGGAACATGAGTGGAGCTGGCAGCAACATCAGCCTTTTCTGGTCTGGCTGACCCCTTTTCCTTTTCATGTCAAGATGATGAATAATCCCGTATTGCACCTGGGCCCTCCACTCCTCCAGGCTTTGAACCTAGAAACCTATGGTCCCCCAGCCATGCCCGCATCCTGTTAGTGGCATCTGTGATTGAGTGCTGCGGGAATGGCAGTGTCTTCCTTTGTACCTGGCTGCCTTCCCTGAGCCATTCATTTCCTTTTGTTATTTGCGGCCTCTTCAGAAGAGTGCAGTTGTCATTCCTCATTCCTAGAGCACCTTTGTGATTTGAACCGAGACAGACACTGACCTAGGGAGAGAGGAAAAGAACTCCACTGTGCTTCTGGGAAAGCGCTACTGTTAAATAAATTTTACTTGTCCTGGGCAAAATGCCTTTTCATAGTTTGCAAGCAGGGAAACCTTGTCCTGAGTTTCAAGATGTAACAAGGTCTCTGTCCCTAGGTTTCCTGCCCTTACTACCAGTATGGAGGATTTAGTATCCTACTGATGCTTTTGTAGATTTGCATCAGTGCTGGCCCGGCTCATTCCAGCAGATGAAGAGTCCAAAATATCAAGAACGGAATGATAAGCAGCTCCTTTATTAGCTAAACAGAAATCATCCAGAAGGACTAATTACCATAATGCCATGATATATTTTATCAAAACAACTGTAGGCATCTTATTCCATATCTCACATGTAATACATTTGTATTCTATTAACATGTCATCAGTACCAGTTTTCCTTTTAGTATGAGCCTGGTGCATCAAGAGCATCATCTCGTAGCCTTAAAACCTTACACAGAAGGATCATCTGTCGTGCCTACTGTGCAGATGTAAAAACCAAAGCTTGAAAAGTTCTTTTAAAACACACACCCACATGCACGCACAGAGGCAGTAAGTGCTGGAGTCTGGATTCCAGTCAGGGTGAAGCCCATGCCTATTGTAATCAGCGTGTGGTCCTGCCCCTGATGCTTTTCTGAAACATCCAATATAGGTGTATATGAAACAAGCACAGTTTTCTTTCCTGTTTCATGGTCTTTTGAGTGATTTTTAAAAAAACAGATATATCAGTGCCCACTGTTTATGAGTACTTAGTCCTCTTTTTTTTGACTATTGTGCCTTTATAATCCCCAGATAATGAGAACCTTGCGGAAATCTAAAGCACAGTGTTAGGACCAATCTCCTAAGGTTACAGCTTTTGTATGATGTTCAGACCAGCTCTGTCATGTGCAAAGTGCCCTGTCTTAGGAACTTTCTTCCAACAGATAATGTTTTCTTCTGTCTCTTCTCAGATTTCACCTCCCTAAAGTGGAGGCACTCCCCTCCCCTCTCTTCATCCTGTTCAGTTTCCTTCCTGTGCACTTACGGCTGTGTAACACATTTCTATACCTTTCCCTGTTGTCTGATTTTCACGCTAAAGTGGGAAGTACTTGAGGATGAAGGCTTTTTGTTCCTTACCAGAGCCTGAGCTCAGTAAATATTCCTGCTCTAATGATTGTCAGCCACTTGGAAGAATGGATGCTACGCAGGTTGTTTATGTAGCCACAGGAAGAAAGGGAGGCCACTCTGCTTCTTTCAGAGAAACTCCTTCTACCAGTAGCTTGCAGG